AACCCATCACAAAACAAAACAAATGGCTGGTGGAGTGGTTCAAGGTGTAGGCCCTGAGTTCAAACCCTAGTACCACACACACAAAAAGAAATCTCTTTTAAGGATGACCTCAAAGATTTTGGTCTGAGCAATGGGAGGATGGAGCTGCCATTTGCTGAGATGCAAAAGTCCAAAGGACAGGCACATTTAGAGTGAGGAGATTTTTTGTTTTGACCATGTTGAATGTGAGATGTCCATTAGACATCCAAGTGAAAATGGAGAGAAGGAAGTTGGATACATGTGTCAACCAGTCAAGAGAGAGTAGTGAGAACAAATATGTCCTATCTCAAATATTAAGAATGCAAAAAAGGGGACAGACATTTAATGAGGACAAAATATGTAGCTTTTCTTTATTTCCACCATGTTCTTGAGTATGTTTTCACTCTCATCCCCGTTGGATGGATCTCTACTACATATCAGGGACTAACATTTGCAGCATATTTATTATGTGTCAGATATTCTGACAAAAAGCATCTGAAGGAGTTCAGGAAATGCCATCCCCAAATATGCCACTTTGGACATCAAACCAAGGGCATTCAGGGAGGGAAGGGGAGAGGCTTTCTCTAAACTTCTCTTTTCTGCAGAAAGGCAGATCCTCCAAAAGGAACTCAATTGTCATGAATCCCCTCCCTGGGAATCTCATCAACTAAGAAGACTAAGATTCCTGTCACAGGAGAGGAGACTGGAGCTCAGCACCACGCACAATTCATCTTTCCTAAAAATCATTTCCTCTCCCCTTAGCTACCTACTTCCCCCTCCCTTATGAAGAGGGTAGAAAAAGTTTCTAGATCTTACTGGGGTTTTGGTATTCACTTTTCTTTCATGTGATGCTTCTGTTCTGTGCGCATAATAAATTTTGTATTCGTTTTCTCCTGTTAATTTGCCTGCTGTCAGTTTATTTCATAGACTCAATTATTGAGAGCCCTAAGAGGGTAGAGTAAAAGGCTTCACTCTGTTACACATTCCATTAAGCACAGCTTTATTACAAAGTAAATATTGTCATCTCCATTTTACAGATGAGAAAACTGAGGTAAGGTAAGCAAAACTCATTTGTCTTAAATCACGCAACTGCTAATGAATAAGCTGAGATTCAAACCAGGATCTAAGACCAGAAGTCTCTATTCCTCTCAACTCTTTGCTTATCACTAAGTGAGTCAGAGTCACCTCTTTGATCTCTATGTCAGTTATTTATTCTGTGAATTAAGCATACCTAAATGGTATTTAACACCAGTCCCTGTCAGATCCTTAGCATATTATGCTTAAATTGGTGGATGTTCAGGAGTTGTCAGTTTTGTTCTTTTTGAGATAGGGTCTTGCAATTTTGCTTAGGCTGGGCTCAAGTGATCCCCCTGTCTCAGCCTCCCAAGTAGCTGGGACTACAATTGGACACCACCACACCTAGCTTGTCAACGTATCTTGAATGTTTATTATTTAGGGGTTGTCAACTCATATTATTTTAATATTAGACCCAGAAAAAAGTAGGAAGGAAAACTTGATGGAAAGAAAGATCAATGAGGTATACAAACTGATTTTATTTGAATTTCTGGGTTATTTACTTTTCTGAGTTATCTGCAACTCCTACAATAGCACAAATAAAAAAGTAATAGCACAATTATTTTGGAGGTACAGAGGTTTGAACTCAGGGCTTTGCACTTGCTAGGAAGGCACTCTATTGCTTGAACCATGCCTCCAGTCCAGGTCATTTGGTTTTATTTCAATTGTATCTTTCCATAATGTATCATTCACTTTGGCACCCAGGAAGTGCTTCATAAGTGGTACTGACAGGCATCTGTTGGCCCAGTTACTTTTTTGGAATTCTGTGTAGTCTAGGTTACTGTGACCGACTTCCAACTCTACTCATTTGACAAACAATTCTGGTGCCTACTGTGTGGTAGGTGCTATGATAGGCACTGGGAATACCAAAATGGAAAATTATAGTTCTTAACATCAAGAAGCTCAGTTTAATGATGAGAAAACATTGTGAAACATTCAAAATACAAAGTGATAAGGAAGTGATATTATTGGGGTATGTTCCAGGGCAATGAAAGCATAAAGGAAAATCTGTTTGGAGTGAGTTGCAGGACCATACCAAAGAGAACGTGTGAGTTGATTCGAGAAGGATTTATCAGTTTTCTTACTTGGGGGCATTCCTGGCAAAGAAACTGGCTTGTGCAAATGTGCAGAGGTGTGAGATGTCAGCGAAGTTAGCATGGCTTCTTTGAAGGATGGTGGAAGATATGTTGGGAGGCAGATTATAGGCCTTCCTAGGAGCTGATATCCTGTCTCTAGTCCTACATGGGGTCAGACAGGTAAGCAAATGAATGATAAGAGGAGACCAGAGGAAAGAGGTGGGGATGGTCGTGTAGCACTTGATTTTTCATGCTTATCTCAAGGAGGAAGTTCTTTCTGGATGTAGCCATATGGGAATGTGAATCCAGTGGTGGTAGGTTTTCTGATGATTTTATGGAAAAGCATCCGCATTTTTAAAATGTGGAATCTACAGATTTCTAAATGCTGGTAACTGATTTTTTTTTAATTCAAAGTTTAAGTGAATACCGCACCAAACACAACACATCTGTTTGCTGGATGTGGCCTTCAGGCTATCATTTTGAGACCTGTGCTGTAAGGGATAGGCACTTATGGACACAGAAAATGAAGCAATACTTTTAACAATTAAAAGAAAAACCACAGGCTAGGGTATAGCTCAGTGGAACACTTGCTTAGCTTGCGTGAGGCCCTGGGTTTCATCTACACCATCACACATAAAAATAATAACCACATACATCCTTTACTGGGCTGTACTGCTGTGGCATTTCTACTACATATGAAGCCATATATTCTTTCTCTGGGGAACCAAAGTGAGGCCCTAGGTTAAATGCAGCTCCCAAGGCTTCTGGGGGGCAATAGTGTAACCCACTGTCTTAGTCCATCTATTAAAATCTTGGTAGAACATGGTAAACTGAGAGGAGTATGGCCCCTGAGCATTGGCACCGCTACCACTGCATAGTTGTCATTTGTTCTTTTTCATTTTAGAGGAAGAAGGAGGAAGTCTCTTTAAACTGTGTATGCAATGAATCCAGTGATGAGACAAATAAAGCACTATGTAATAGCTATTATAGTTTATAAACTCATCATTTTATTGGAGAAACTACGCACCCCCTCACCCCCAAAGAAATCACAGTGCCTTGCTCAAAGTGACCCAGCAAACTAGTGGCAGAGTCAGATCTCCTGATTCCTGGTCTAGCATTCTTTCCAATAATGCTGGGCTATGATAATTAAGGTAAATCAGCCTGGCACTTTTCCTAGCATCTAGAATTCCTGGTCTGGACAAGCAGGACTTGAGAGCAGCTGTTGCAAGTCTTTTTTTTTTTTTTTCTTATCTGTATGATGATAATATTCTTTGCAAACGTTCTATTTCATGGGTAAAGGTTAAAGAGAGGACAAAAAGATGTTTTTGAAGCGCTGAGACCATTCACAAAGGGTATGAAAGAAATGTTGTCTGTGTCTAATATATTCAAGGCTTATGACCTCGGTGCTCTCTGGACTGACCTCCTTACCATATGCTTTTGGTTTTGTTTTGTTTCTCTTCTTTTGTCATCTTTTCTATTTCTCTCACTGGTCTAGGTCTTAGTCCTACACTCAGAATTGCTCTAGGGCACCACTGAGTCTCCTTGGTGGCATTTAAGATGCCTGCTTCAAGTTAATCAAATTGCTAATTATTTATGTCTCAGTAATGGGGGAATGAGAGTGCCTGGTTGGTAACAAACATGCATGTTTGCTCTGGCACAGTCACTTAGCTCTTTAAAATCAGAGACTGGTAACTTGTCAATTGTGACTCTTGACTAAACTAATCCTTTCCATCCTTCATTTCAGGGTCTATTGTTCTGACATTTGCCACTTTTTGTTTTTTTGCTCTGAACCTGTTTCTGATTGGTGCAGTTGTTGAAGATGCTGCAGTTGCAGCAGTGTACATCTGGAACATTTGGCTGACTTGTTGAACTTCCCCCAGGGAGTACTCCAGGGGAAGCATGGGAGGGGTGGAGAGGCCAGAACAGTTGCCTGCAAATAAGAGATGCCAATAGTGTCTGGTCATTCTGAGGCCACCCTTATAAAAATCCACCTCATTGTGCCCCTCAGTTTCCCCAAATGCTCCTTGAAGGCGCATGTTCTCCACTCCAAACTCCCCTGAAGCACTGAAAGAAGAGAAACTTCTGTGGATTCTCTCATACAGCACTTTCTGCATTGTAAAAGGGATCAATAAATATTTATTGGATTAATATATCAAGAAATCCTAAGAGATTGTCTTACCCTTCAAGGGGAAGCATCAGTTCCACCAGTCTCTTTCTCCATGACTTGGACTGTGTCCCCAGACTCACTCCAGGAGTGAGGCTGCCTGATTCCCAGCCCCTTTGGCTTCCCAGGCTTCTAGGTCTCCTTTTCTTCTGGCGAGCCATTGGATTGCAAACACAGCAGGCATGGTTTCATTCCAAATCCAGAACTGTTTTAATTAGTTTAACGTCTGTTAAACGCTTTGAAGATTGAAAGCAACAGATAAGTACTGGATGGTGTTATTAGCGACTGCAGTTAATTGCAAACATTTCTATTAATGCTAGTTTCTGCCTCCTTTTCTTTGCTCTACTTTCTTTCCAAGGTTCCCAAATTCTTCTCAGCCTCCCCCTTTCTCCCTCCCCCCATACTGGAGCTAAGGGGTTAAATTGGGGCGGAGTCCAAAGATAAACGACAGCGGCAGGCACCAACTGGAACGGAACAAGAGGGACGAGCTGGGTGGGGCTGCCAGGCACAGGCGAACCTTCACGCCCCCAGGCCCCGCCCAGCGGCTGGAGGCCCGGGCGGAACGGCAGGGGGCGGGGCGCCGAGGCTTGGCGGGTCCGGTGGTTGGGCGTCCCGGCGGCCTCAGGAGGGATGGGGCGGGGTTGGCCGGGACCTCCTCCCTCATTCCCTCGGCGGGCCGAGCCGCCCCTTTCTCCCGCCCCTCCTCCTCCCTTTCCCACCCCTCGGAGTGGAGCTGCACATGCGGCTGCTCCCAGTTCCGTCCCGCCCAGCCACCGTCGCGCAGGAACGGGTCCCTGCAGCCCCCAGCCGATGGCAGGACAGTAGCCGCCTGTCAGGGGTCGTGAACGGCTGAGACAGACGCAGCGGCTCCCGGGCCTCAGAGAGTGGGTGTCTCCAGAGGCCATGGGCTACCCTGAGGTAGAGCGCAAAGAACCCCTGCCTGCGGCAGCGCCAGCGCCAGCGCCAGCGCCACGGGAGCGGGGCAGCCAGGGCTGCGGCTGTCGCGGGGCCCCTGCCCGGGCGGGCGAAGGGAACAGCTGCCGGCTCTTCCTGGGTTTCTTTGGCCTCTCGCTGGCCCTCCACCTGCTGACGTTGTGCTGCTACCTAGAGTTGCGGTCCGAGTTGCGGCGGGAACGGGGAGCCGAGTCCCGCCTTGGCGGCCCTGGCACGCCTGGCACCTCTGGCACCCTGAGCAACCCTGGTGGCCTCGACCGCGATGGTCCCATCACCCGCCACCTCGGGCAGCAGTCACCTCGGCAGCAACTGTTGGAGCCAGGAGAAACCACACTCCCCCCTGACTCCCAGGACCGGCACCAGGTGAGTCACCTTGTCGGGGCGGCGTCGGCCCCCTCCCCTTGTAGGTACGGAGGGGGCCCTCCACCTCCCTCCAGGGGCGGGGGGACTCGGCCACTTGGAGCCAAGTGAGAGAGCAGGACCAGGGCGGGGTCGGGCGAGCAGGAGAGAAGTTGTCCGGGGCAGGTTGTCCTCTGTCCCCGGCCGGCTCATCCAGACGCTCTCAGGTCCCAGGGACTTGCAAACCCTCGCCCGCGCCCGCCGCCCCCGGCTCCAGGCTGCTTTGGGAAAGTTGGCTACGCTCCCGCCTGGGCCGGCGATTGGTGCCCGCGCTGCCCCCCTGGCCGACTAACGGCGAGCAGCCTGTGGCCCTCGTGCTCCCGGGACTTTCTCTGCCTCCGCCGCGGTGCTTGTTTTTTTCGTGTCCGAGCCGATGCCAGCACTCGCAGGCTCTCCTTTGGAGCTGGACTGTAAACAGCTGGAAGAAGTGCTCCACGCCCGTGGAAACAACTTCTAACCACACTCTCAGCCGGGTCCTTGGGGCGCTGACCACAACGTGGGCTTGTTCACACTTACCTGCAATTTGACACTGATTGTCCTCGGCGTTGTAGTGAGGATCAGCGCCCCGGAGGAATTCTGGTAGAAATATGCCGTCTTGCTAGACAACTTCTGAACAGCAATTTCAAAAATCTATGGAAATAAAACTCACCCTTTGCATGCCGGTTCTGACTTTTTTTTTGATGGGGGTGCAGTGGGAAAGGTGAGCGTGAACCTTTTTCATTACTGCTGGCTTTAAGCAGGAATCTCCCAATGGGATGAGTGATCACTCCCAAGAGCAGCTTTATTTTATTTGCAATCTTTGTGGTGTTTGTACCCTTGTTAACAACCCATTCGCTCTGGTGTTTGTTTTCTACCTTTTTTTCTAGCTCTTTATTCAAGTAAATTTAGTGCACCGAATGTGAGTATTGTCTTGATTGCCATATTTTGTGTTATATGTGAAATTTAGGAGAGGCAGCCAAGATCCATCCAAGAGGTGGTTAAAGGATAATAGTGAATTTGTAGCTCTTGGAGAAGAGGGTAAGTTGTGCAATAGAAGTTCCTTGAGGTGAGACTCAAGCCATCTGTATTTACACCACATTCAGAGTCATGGTCACAACTCTTTAAACCTCATTTGTGCTACATTGACTTCTTTCTTATCCAAACTCGTGCACTGGGTAGAGGCATCGCATTCATGATACTATTATGATGTCAGTACTGACAACTTTTCTGTTTTGCAGTGTGTGCTTTGTAAAGTTGACCTAGCCTTAAAATGTCTTGTGAGTACACTCCAACTTATCAAAGGAGACAATCAGCAGACATGCTTCTCATACTTGAAACTTTTAACACTGTAGATAAATGATAATTAACCAGGATTCTGCCCCAATGTCCAAAAGAAATACCTAGTAGCTGTGCAGTGACATTCTGTGAAAAGATGAGAGAATTCAACTTCCTTAGTCAAATGGTGGCCAAGACTTTTGATATTCAGAATGGACAGGGCCATGTTTATAGACTGCAGATTAGCAGGACAGCTGTACTTCAGGGCTTCTGTGATGGTATGGTTCGTTCACAGGTTTAAAATGGCATTTAGTTGCTTGCCCTTTGCTTAGCACTAAAATACTTCTGTCCTTTATTCTATTCTACTCTTTTTGAGTAGGAGAAGCAATGATACTGGCTCATTACATTTGTTGACATCAATTTTGAGTCGCAGATATTTAGAGTTGTAAGGGGCCATGTAAGGCCATTTTGTTGATTCCCTTAGAGAATGCATAGTCCCTGAGGGGGAAGTGGTTTGCCCAAGATCTCATAACCAGAGTTAAAACTAGGATGGACTTGCTCTCTTAACTCCCAGTTCAGTTCCCATTCCCCACAGTATTCTACCTACAGAGGCTTTTGGGGAGGGGGCAGGAGACAGGGTGGAGCTCCATAGTAGATATTTTACAAAGTAGAGGGCTCAGATCTAGGTCACCTTGTTCTACTCTACTACATTTTGAACAGACTAAGTTTAATTATGTATTTCCTTATTCATCCTGAACTTTCAGGAGAATTGGAATATACTCTGAAGGAGTTTTAGCCCAAAGTCAACTAAAGTTTTTCTATTTTTTTTTCAGCACTGGAGTTTGAACTCAGGGCCTCATACTTTCTAGGCTGACTCTGACAGCCTTTTTTTGTGATGGGTTTTTTTCTGATAGGCTCTCACAAACTATTTATGCAGGATTGGCTTTGAACCATGATCCTCCTGATCTCTGCCTCCTGAGTAGCTAGGATTATAGGCGTGAACCAGCTGCAGCCTGGCTTAGATTTCTCTTGAGGGCATTGGTTTTAATATACAATAAATAAATAAAAGAAAAGTTGATTGGCTATTAGAGCCGAGTTAATATTGCTACATCTTGGGTAAAATTTCTAGTGCCCTGGTGCACCCTCTGCTGGCTTTGCAGGGACATTTGATTGCAATATCTGCTGACAGTCAAAATTCTAAGTTATGCTGACAGATTCTGATTCATAAATAAGGAAGTAAACAGCCTTGTGGGATTTGGCCACGTAGGTCATATTTTTATATTTTAGTTTTTTAACACAAACAGCTGCTGTTACAGCAACTTTTGGACGGAGAGGAAGAAAGATAAAAATATGCACCCTCCATGGGCAACACATTCAGGTTTCTTACCAGTTTGTCTGCAAGGGGTGCAGGCAAGCTGATGAGAGTAAACCTTCAGGAAGATCTCATGAGACCTAGTGAGCAGAATAGTCAGAGGCACTACATTGAGGAAGGTCAGACAGTGAGGCAAAAGTAAACCTCTGTATCCATGCTTATGAGATGATGGGCTCTGGACTTTCAGTTATGACTCAAGGAGGGGATCTAGAAGTCACTGTAGGTGTATATATGTCACAACTCAATCAACAAACTTAGAATACAGAAGGAAGTTAGGGCAGTAAGGATACAAAGTAGTGAGATCAGGGAAATGTTAGAAAAGTCTTCTAAGTGAGAACATAGTTGCTGATGATACATCACACCTGGAATTGTAACTATCTCCTTGAACTGGAGGAGCTAAGTAGCTGCTGTATCTGGATACTTGTTAGAGATGATTTTTTTTTTTTTTGCGGTACTGGGGTTTGAACTCAGGTCCTATACCTTGAGCCACTCCACCAGCCCCTTTTTTGTGATGTTTTTTTTTTTGAGATAGGGTCTTGAAAACTATTTGCCCCAGTTGGCTTTGAACCTTGATCCTCCAGCTGTCTGTATCCTGAGTATCTAGGATTACAGGCATGAGCCACCAGTGCCTGGCTGTTAGAGATGATCTTAAGGGTTAGACACATTATGTCTGAATTTGACAATAATATAAAAATAAAATAAAATAAATCACTGTGAATCAGTCTACAGAGAAGCTGGTCCCATCACGGTTATGCTACTCAAAGATCAAGAACATAGTAGCCACTCTCAGGAAGGTGTCAACAGTAGGACTTGGGTGTAGATTAAGTGGTAGAGTACTTGTCTAGCAAGCATGAAGCCCTGAGTTCAAACACCTGGTCTGCCAAAAAAGGAAGATATTAACAACAAAACAAAATCCTTGTCTTTTCCATGTAAAAGTGGAATATCACCCCATAATCAGAAAATTCGGTGGCTGCTCTTCAGGAAAAACCTAACGGCTTAATAAAGTCCCCAGAATTCCAACTAAATTGATCAAAAGGATGTAGGGATTTTCTACTTGTTTTTTCAGACTGGAGAGAAAACTGTGAAGAGAGAGATGATCAAAGTCTTCCAAACCATGAGATGAATATGGTTAATATGTTGATGTAATTTAATTATCTAAGTTAAATAAATACAAAATCTGCTGCATCTGACACAGTGTTAAGTCTAGGTATCTTTTAATGCTTGAAGAATTATTTTGGCAGGAAGACAAAGGTTGCATCTCATCCAACTCATTGCCTTATGTGATAGACTAAACTATGGGTAAAGCAGTAAGAATTTACTCAGAACTGTTGGAGATATTTGGAGTATGTTCCTGATTATTTGAAGTGATGTCATAGAAGTCAACCTTAACATTCTACAAAACATCTCTTGGTATAACTAGATAGACATTAGTGTACCCAGATTTGGCATTACTTATTTTTGTTAAGGTTGGTTGATGAAGAAAATAGCTAAATATCATTCAAGGTGATTTAAGGTGAGCATAATAAATAAACACAAATTATTTTAGGTATGTGGGATTGAGATAAAATATTTTTTCTATGGGTTTAAATCCAGACTTTTTGCTGTATCAGTAAACACTGTTGATCAATTGGTTTTGTTATACCCATCTCATTTTCTTTGTCACTAATTGTACTCCTGTAATCCACCCACCACATTTTGTCTTGGGATCATTCTCTAATTATTATTGCTATAGTTGTTTTTAATAAATCTTGTGGTTTTACATTAGAGCTCCCAAGAAATCTACCTTCTTTGTTGTCTTTCTCCACAGTGTGTGACACAGTACAAATTAGAGTTAGTTAGGGTTCTCACATACTTGTTGATTTGAATTAAATATTATTTTGAGACTTTGGAGATGTTTATGTAAAACAAAGAAGACATTTTCTCTTTATATAACAGGCCTGCTTTTCTCAGGTCTTGCTAAGCCTATGAACTGTCAGTTATGCTTAGGTGAGTAAATAGTTCCACTGGTAATGTTTCACTGGTTTCTAAAATAATTAGAAAGTGAAATTGAGAAGAGTACTAACCGTGTGATCCATTTGCTAGTTTCACACATTACCTCTAAGATGGTGCAAAAAGCTTTCTATAATATATCGTTTGATGTTTTATTTGCTTTTAGGTCTCATCTTTCTGTTTCTTTCTTAGATCTTGTGAAAAATGATCTGTAATTTATCTGTAACTACCTTATAGAGAAGATCTCTTTATACTAGAGAACTTCTGAAGTAATTTAATTCCCAAAAACAGTACCAAGAGAACCCTCTTGCTTTCCTGCAGAGTGGCCCTCATAGAGGACAGTCTTTATCTGACCCCTCTATAAATAACCAGCATTTAGCAACTCACTTCTCTTCATTTTTTTCTTTTTCTTTACTTTTTTATTGAAGTATACCACAATGCACAGAAAGTACATACATCATGATTGTACAATGTTATGAAATATTGGAAAGTGAATATGCTCATGTTAATAGCACCCAGGTCAAAAAATAATTAATTACTAAAAATTAATTACTAGCATCCCACAAATTCTAATTGTGCCCTATTCCTACCACTTTATCATCCTCACTCTCCAAAATGAATGGCTACCCTGACTTCTAACATCATAGATAGTTTTATCAATTTTCAACCTTATATAAATGTACTCTTTTGGGTCTGGTGTTTTTTGATCAACACTGTACTTGAGATACCCATTCATGTTGCATGCAGCTATAGTTTTTTACTTGTATTTGTGTATATTCTTTTGCTTGAACATATCATAATTTATCAATTTATTCTCTGATAATAAATATGTGGAAATTTCTAGGTGGATTTATTATGAATAATGTTAGGAATATTATTGTACATGACTTTTGGTTCCATGTGTTTGAATTTCTGTTGGATATATACCAAGGATTAGAGTTACTAATTCATGGGGAAT